ATCCTTTCAAATCGTCAATAACTGTATTGGATGTCCCTCTCGTTTGCGTCTGTAAGCATTTTTTTCAGTGACGAAAAGGCTGAAGAAGATGAGCCGTTCCCGTAAGTATTTATAAGATCGTGGTTTGTTTTGCAACGATTTCTTGACTCTCCACCTATATTCCAAACGTAGATTTCTAGAAAGCAGATTCGAAAACATATAATATGAAACAATCTTCTCCACGAGTGAAGTAGAACAGAACTTGGCCGTAGAGTTTGTGCTACAATTTCCTAGTTTCTGATTCTCGTTGGCTTTATGGTCTAGGGCTTGAGACCTAGTTTCACTCCGACTTCAGAACGCTGTCCCATGGGCTAGATGTCCTCTGAATGTGTTAATTTATGGTAACGTGTCGCGTTTTCTATCGTTTCCTATGCCTTTTTGCTTTCCCGTTTTCTTGACGCTTGCTCCCCTACTTTCAGAGCCTAATGTTTCCCCGTCCTACAACAAGCTCACACAAATCTCAAAAACTTCATGGGAGAGAGATTTCAAAGCGCTTTGACGCTTTTGCCATGTCGGGATCTTTGCCATCCATGGCTAAATATCTGGACAAAGTGAAAACTCCGCTGATGTGGAATGTACATTTGGAGGTCATTCAACGACCCCTTTAACACATTCGCGACGACGCCTCTTTTCCACTTTTCGGCAGCTTGGGACGGACGCGATTTTGTGGGCTGAGGTGATCCGAAGCATGAAAAAGTTGTCTAGTCTTCCCGAAAACCTTTCATCAAAGAAGAAAATTGGTTGCCCCATCGTCCACGGTAAAAGTCATTTGGCAAGTAAAAGTCGAATTGTCGACAATGAATCCTACCAAAATAGAGCAAAAAACGACAACTAGCCATGAATAATAACATACTATCACAACTTTGTCCATTTGCTTCCTTTGGAAGCTTACCTGGTCTTAGCAATGCACAGGGCATGCTTCTCAATCTACACTTCCACTTTTCGGTTGAAGAAGCCTTCGTAACCGCCTTAGCCAGCTGTGTGTTGATTGATCTTGTGCGTTGACCATGCAGCTGCTTGTCTCCTATTAAAACTTGAACGTATATTCAAAAGCAGAAGTCGGGCTCAATAAGGGGGTACTATGGCGATTGAAATTGAGTGTAGAGATGCGAAGTATTAGGTTGTCTCATAAATAATGTCGCTTTTTTTCAACCGAAAAATTTTC